GTTTCCTTGACGCATCCCCCTTTCACCCAATCAGCAAGTTTTTGTCTGATTGTTCTTTCGTGTGCGCGCCCTTGCGCAGTAATAATGGTCTCCTAATTTTGATAAGGAAATAATTTTTTTTAAAGGGATAAACTTTAGGGGGGTTTCCGTAGTTTAGAAGTAAAAGGTTTATTACTAACCATATTGTGTGTTGTTGTTTTTTTTCAGTCAAGTTCATTCATCACAGCAATTCAGAGCATGTCTCACGCTGAAGTCGGCGACATTTTGATATCTCTCTGCTACACAGCAAAAGACCAGACTCTGAACGTATCGATTATGAAAACAAGCAATTTATCAGCTAGTCTAACGGCATCGTCAGGTTTGTATTATATTACTAGATGTATTCCCAAAATCAACATTTAATAAACCCCTTCTTGGTCATAGCTGACATGTTTTTGAGCGTTAAGTCAACATCAACATCATCTATTTAGAGAGTCCTTGCATGTAACTTCTCAGTGGCTTCGATAGAGGACAAAAGACAAGTTTTTTGCCYTTTAGGGAACAAAAATCCACTGTTTTGTCCTCCAGTTGGAGCTGCTTCCTATAAACTGCAGGACCGTGTTGTTCAAAGATCGATTAGCGCTAATTCTGTGTTAACCCTTAAAAAACGTATGGAGTTAAACGCTAGTTAGTTTTTAAACTAAYAACCCGGACCAGGCGATCTATACCATAAGGCATTATTTTGTCACTGATTGCTGTCATTTTCCAACAGAAAAAGTTTACGTCAAAGCATCTTTTACTCACGATAACAAGCGAATTGCAAAGCGCAAGACAAATCTACACGAAGTGAGGTCCAAATACACTATATTCAACGAAGCCCTATTGTTTCGTGTCCCTCGAGATGTACTCGAACAATCGACTCTTAGTATCTCACTCAATCGATACAACGTCGTCGGAAAGAGCTCGACAATCGGCGTAGTCTCGTTTGGCCCACTGTCTTTTGGACCAGAGGCTGCGCACTGGTATGACATGCTCGCCAAGCCAGAGAATTTTAGTGCGATGTGGCATATATTAAGGGGATTTAAGTTCGGTGAACGTGGATTTCAATCACCAAATTGATCAAGGAAGGACATCATGGTATTMTTTTAATTCAAAGAGACAAACTGTAGCTCCCATAAATAAACGAATGGCTGTTTACGTAGTTGAAAATATGATAAMAATTCATATGAAATAGTTATAAAGTATATTTTCACGAAATATTGAAACACATAGTGTACCTATATTAATAAAAAGATATTCAAACTTTAAATCCGCTAATTATCGTTTTATTAATCCATAGTAGCTAATTTGAGATTTTGATACAAATCTCACCTCTAAATGTTCTTTGTACTGACTAAGTTTTAGTGTCGTTTATAGCCTACCAGTTTGTCGGGGAAGCCCGTTAAAAGCCTAGAATGAAAAGGAAAGTTTATATATCCAAACATCCTGTTATGGCTGAGGAGAAACTCACTCGTCGTAATCGTAATTTTACAAAGTATTATTATTCATCGTAGGCTTGTCTGTGATTGGTGGGCCATCTACTGGACCACATCCAATAACTAAAGGCTTGTTTGTGATTGGTGGGCTGTCTACTAGATCA